ATCTAGAGTCCAGACTCTTAAAAACATCGACAAGAAAAAGTACTCTTGATTCAATCAGAATCTAGCTTAAATCAAGAACCAAGCCTCTTAATTTAAGCGGATTTCGTTTTGATTCAAGCAAAAATCCGATTGAATCAAGAGTATTTTTTCTTGTCAATGTTTTCAAGAGTCTGGACTCTCGATCTAGTGATCTTTTTTCCAGTGTACCAAAACTCATTCTATCGTAAAGTTTATACCTAGGGAGGGAGGAAGCTCACAGATTTGCCAAAAAAGAAGAAGAAAAGGCTCGAAACAATTAAAAATAAAACAGAAAACATAATATTTTGTATCTTGATAGATGCTGACTGAGGTCTTCGACGAAATGATAGGGAAATCCGGGTTCATTTGATCTCTTTGCCAGTGGTATGCGTCGCTGTAAGCTATGACAAACTGTTGTCATCAGTCAGAAACGCCTTCAGTTTTGTGTGATACTTACCGCCTACACCGGAGTTAAAATATTTGTATCAATCACATTGCGCATGTTGATACAAATTCATAGGATATATCAATCGCTTATCGAACATTTATGAAGTGTCGTCTCGTATTCAATGGGAAAATACCTTAATGAAAACGCTCGGCGTAACATTTAACCCAAAGAAAATCGAACTAAAAAATACTAACCGCACGTTTTGGTAACTTTCTGCTCTACTTCCATTATAAACACAAAATGTCGATTACTTTTTCCAATGTTTACTTGATTTTACACAGTGATATTGTGTGGTAAAGATAACCAGATACCTGGTAGCATTTACCAGAGTTTTTGTCAATGCGATCGGAGTAACGGTTTTTGCTGTCATAGCATCTGTTGGTGATTACCAAAGCTTTTATTATTGTACCTCAAACCGTACTTCTTTTCTTTTCAGTATGGGGTTGCTGATGATAAAAACAACGCGACTATAAACCGCTGCATCATGTCCGAAATTGTCATTTTAACAGACGTGAGTGTATATATTTTTCTCAAAATTTTTCATTCATCTGATTTTTCTACATATGTTGTGTATGTATCTACTCTGCCAGTTTCTTTAGTTTCATATATCATCGTATAAAAAGAGGAAAATTTAGATTATTTAATTTTCCTGCTGGAGTGCAATTACAAAGTAAGAACTATACTAATGTACCAGCTCATAGGTCAAAATCCACTGAATCGAAGAATCATAAATTGGTATATTCCAAAAATCTAAATTTCATTAAATGCCTGCTGCGCAACGTCATTAAGAAGTAAATTCCTCAGCAATGAATCAATGAATTGCACTGCAATCTCTTGGGAGAAAATTAGAAACACTTCATTTCAAGCTTTCAGTCCTGATACCTATTCGAATTGATGCTTTTTTTCTTCGCGCTTTCTGGGACTCTTTCTAAATTTTTTGGGTTTACAAGTTTTAGTTGTAAAATTTGCAATTTGCAAAGTGTTTGCAAATGTTGCGAAATGCATGTGTCCTATGACGTCCTTGTATGGACTTTTTTAAAATTGTATCGTGACGTATTCCCTAAACACGTGAAGCATGTATCCTCATAAATTTCCTTTACTTTAATTCATATCACATTTTTTCCCAATCTGCGAGTTTCTCCTTTTCGTATTTTGGTGGTCTTGTTTTAAATTCATTTCGCAACAAAAACACGAAAGCAGGAAGAAAATAAAAATCAACGACCTATCCGAGCGCTGCTTTTTTCTCCGAGGAAAGATCACGTCGAAACGAATAACAGCTGCAGGCGAGAGCGTTGATTTTCTTCAGGGTTATTTTATTCTTTTTTTTTAAACAGCTCTTACAGCTTGCAAAACAAAGGAACTGAAATAAATTAAAATAAACATCTCGAGCCCTGTGTCGAGTATGTTTGTTTCCTCGGCACTAGCGCAGCATTTGAAAAAAGGAAGAGAGAAGAGAGAAAAAAGTTAGCAAAACGGAAAGATCGGGAGAGCGAAAAAAGAAAATATATTGTTGGAAATCTTCGTGCGAGCAGAAGGCCTCTGGAAATGGATATTTTGATCCTGTGATTACCTTTGAATACTTAAAGGTCATATCATCGATTTTCTTTTAATGCTTTCTCTGAATGTTCCTAAGGAGGTTAGCACCTAAACTGGACCACATTTTGCAACAAAGAACTAATATTTCAGGGTTTTCGAAACAGTGTATGTTCCCCTCATGTTCCTATGCAGATAAATGCTGCTTCTTCTTTTTCTTCTTCCTCCTCCTCCTATGCACCTTTCTTTTCTAAACCTAGTTCTTCCCATGCAGTAATTTAATTATACCCATTTCTTGTCAATATCATATTGGTGAAAATTGTATCCTACCTACGCGCGTTGTTTCGCACTCAGTCAGACCAGTTTGCCTTCAATCTGTTGATTAGACAATGTGAGAAGCTCAGAAGCAATAATAGTTGCTCGCAGCAGTTAGACAATGTTTATTTGTCTAAAATAGACATTTTTCTACGTTAAATGCTCGGCAGTCGTTCAGACTAGTTTTCCTTTAATGCCCTGATCAGAGAATGGAATTAACGCATCGTAACGCACTTCCAAACCCCTTTAAATATTTACCTAATGCTTGACGGACCCCTCCTCCCTTCATATCACAAAAATTGCAGGAAACTGTCGAATACATAGCTATAGAGGATTGTGGCCGCTGCGCGGTCGCCAACCAGTTAAAGAAAACTACACGTAAAATATTGCAGAACGACCATATTCAAGTTATTCAAAAGCCGACTTGTGCACTCGAAAGAAAGCGTATTTATCTCTGATCGTAACGTCATACATTGCAACGTATTTTCAATCAATGTCTTTAAAAAGCTACAAACAGTTTCTCTGAAAAGTTTCCGAAAATTTTCCTAACTGATCTCAAATGAAGGCATCGAAAATTTTGATGCGATATTTTCCTCCGTTCTCCTTTTTTCTGGTACCTCAAAAAAACTAAATCACATCCGAGTTTCTGCATTGTTAAAATGAGGATACATGATGCCCCTTTAATCATGGTAAAAACCGGAGCAGAGAGTCAAGAATGATGACACTTAGTCTTAAACGGAAAGTTAACGGAAATCAGGAAAAGCTGCAGGATCCTTCGAGGATTGCAGGCTCGCGTTGTACACTGGTTGGATACTATGTCCGCCGCATCGCAGGTGGTGGGTTTGACACCAAGAAATTACAACGATTAGCGCGCACCGTGCTGTGTGTGCAATTCGCGAAGTATTCCTACAGTCTAATATGCGTATCATGCCTATTGACCTTCTGCACTGCAATTGGCGCAATGCGAGAAGTATTCATGCAGTCTTGTAGGCGCAACATGCGTTCCAGGCTGACCGCAGTATTTGGCGCAATGCGAGAAGTATTTCTACAGTCTTGCAGGCGCCAATATGCGTTTAGCGCCGGCCGCACTGTGTTTGGCGCGATTATTCGTACTCGCTTTATGGTATTCGTAATAACAGGGTATATCAAATACTGAGGCTTAAAAGGTCCATGTTGTGTTTCGACGCCGTATGAGCATTTCAACGTTGCCTCTTTTCTCCTGATAAAATAATGTTTTCGAGAAAAGTTAAGAAAATTCTCTATGATGTTTCTTTATGAAGGACTGACCCAGTCCCCCTTGTCACGCAGCGTAACGGAGCACGGAGCCGCTCATTTTATCAACGTGGGCTGAGTAAGTAAATATGAAAGTAGATATGCGGTGAAAGTACTACAATGGACCACTAGACAAGGTACGAATTTCAGCATTCTGATACATGTTTCTCAACCAAAATTTCAGTAGAACACGATACGCACAACGAAAATTACCAAAATCAACTCCAGACGAAGATATTCAATGATTCTTGATGCGTGAATTCAAACCACCCGCTCATGAAAACTCAATGCTCTACGCGATTCACATCGCGCGCTAAATATTTATCATGACAGTCTCTGCGATGTAAAAATCTTTAACTTCAACCTTGACACTTTGGCTCAGCTATAGCAAATTACCAATAGTTTGAACAACACATGGTGGAGAATGAACATTGCTCGATTGAGAAGCTTGCTGAAACCGTTGTAGTGCGCAATTTGACTCACGTAGAGCTTTGAGTTTCTTGTGAGCGGACAGTTCAAATGCCTCGTAATCAGTGCGAAATAAAAACGTTAATATCTTCGTTAAAAGTTGATTTCGGTAATTTTCGTAGTGTGAATCGTGTTCTACGTGAAATTCTGGTTAAGAAACATGTATCAGATTGCTTAAATTCGTACCTTGTCTAATGGTCCATTTTTATCGAAGCCTTCTGAAAGCAGTGCCACCCAACTGCCCCCCTTAAATGACGTCATTGTAATTTTATGAACGCTTCCCAAGCCTATCAGAGATCGGCTGAGACATGATAATACTCTTCTCAGACGGGCACCCTAGAGAAGAAGGAGGCCCGGCGTGATTCTCATGACCCGCGCGATAAACGGCGATTGAAAATCCCTGCATCATCGCTCGACCCACGGCGCGGCGCGGCGCGTCGATGCGGCGAACGAAAACAGAAGGAACTGAGCACTTAATCAAATTATGCACGGTCAGTTGATTGAAGGAGAGCGTGCGAGAATCAATCAAGTGATTTATTAAAATCCTCAAATACACACAAAAGAGCGGCGGCGGCGCAGCGGGCAGGGGTTGATGTATGAATTCCCGATGTGTCGGGACGCGTGATACCCGGAGCTGGCGCGTACTCTACGATACATCGATCGATCTGCTATTTAAACCTATGGAAAAGGATCGATTACGCAACGAACGATTCTTCGCCACAGCTTCAAATGGGGAAGTATCGATAGTTGATTGGGCGCTGGATGCTGCGTCGCTGGACCCGAAAAGAATCCCGTGGTCCCGACCCGGATAACCGCCCCCGCCCGCCGCCCGCACCTGGGCCGGATCGGGATCCGTCGGGTATCTCCGCCGCGACGCCGGGTCGTCGCGCGTCGGGCTCGGGATGTTTTCCTCCTCGAGTACCCCTTTCTTCAGTCTGCTCCGATCTCCTGTCGCGTGTGGCGCGTGCGAGCGCCCGTTCCAGCCCGGTTCTTTTTTCGTAGCTCGCGGGAAAATCGCTCCCGGGATTCGCAACCTTTTTCGGGGCCCGGTCACCACGTGCCACCCCTTCAACAACAAATTTTGGTGTAAGGGTTGATCTCTCAACACCCCCCTATGCAATACGCTTAGTGCCCCCCCTTTTTTTTAAAAAAAAAAAATTAAAAAAATTCTCATTGATAACGACCCACCATTGTGGTCCCAGTGTTAATTAAAAAGTACTTAAACGAGGTTTAAGCTATCCTCGAAACCTTTTTCTGCCGGAGATCGATATCTCGCGGTTTGATGATAGTTTTCGGTTTGTTTTTGTCGGGTTTGTTGCCGAATGTTTTCAAATCGAGCGGTGGCTTCTACTTTAACTTTTGTGATTTGCTCTCGCAATAAACTGGTGAGAAATGTGCCTTGGATTTGAGTTGATGATTTTTCTCAGATTTCAGTGAATACTTTATTGTGATTGTCATGAGCCGATTGAATGATATGTTTGTGGCGTGAGTCGTTTTAAATCTGAAAGGTTGTTTACCCTACGAACTGTTTTTCAGTACGTAGTAATTCCCCCAAAAGTGCTCAGTGATCTTTTGATTATCGTGTTTCTTCTCCGTACATTGTTTGGCTCAAATTATACAGTGTTTCACAAAAATAGTGATATTTGGTTCTGCACTGGATGTCTTTAATTTGGAGGCTTGAAGTTTATGACTATGGCTTAATTATCATCGTGCATAAGACTTTAAGGTAAAATCTGCATTTGTCATTTTCTTAAAAATATGGTTTTCATTCTTTTTTTGTTGTGTCCCTGGGGAGGGTCCGATTTATAAACATCTGAGAGAGAGAGAGCGACCAAGTGGAAAAGGCAACTAAGGTGGTAAAAAATTCATGCGAAGGACTTTAAAATGCTTCATCACACCGCAAACAATTCCACAAACGGATTTCATCCCTAATCAAGAGGTAAAACCGATTATCCAACCAGCGGAATTCAAAATAGATACAATTTTTAAAGTACCCCTTTTTAAGGTTTATTTTTTTAACCATGTTTCGCGCCCATAAGACGCCGCTTTTGAAAGGATTGTCCAGAAGGTTTGCGGAAAGTCACAGTTACGTGCATGTCCCAGATTATTTTGGAAATTTGAATGAGCAACAACTTTGTAAAGCAAAAAATTATGATCGCAAAATTATGTTTGCATGAGATCCTGCTGCAAGCACTGGATATTAAATAATCCAACTTGGCATCAATGGCATCCCTAATCACATGCAGCACCCCTGCGATCTCGTGAGTTGCCAAAACCAAGAGATAGGAATGTGAGAACTCATGGAAGAAAATAGTGCAGGGCGAAAAAATTAATCGGAAAATAACGGATAGGATGTTTTTCGTTTCGGGGAGGTACCCTGCGGGCCGATCATTGACAGTTCAAGACAGCCCGATAAGACATCGAAATGAAATATGTTCCATGGTTACGATAGACTTTGTCTTTTCTTGTCGGCCCGACATAGTCTCAATAATCTGGTCGCTGGACTTATATCGTATTAAGTATAGTCAGAGGTTTTAGAAAGTTTGAGTAAAAATTAACTTAAATCGCTCGAACATATCTAAGCTTAGGTAAAGCTGCAAAAACGAGTATCTCGCTTGCGGCGTTTCTAAATCTCAGCTTTCATGTTATTTTATCATGGGAGAACGAACAATCACTCTATTACTTGATATTTTTACGCAGACTATTCCTCACTTAAAGAAAAAAAAGTCAATAAAATTTTCAAAATAACGTCGAGCAATTTTACATTTAAAAAATAAATTGAATGAGGAAGTCTGTAGGGTCGCAAACCGAGGTGCATGCTTTTAAAGTTTGACCGCCGATTAGTCGAACAGATTGCCTAAAAATTCAATATCTTAATGAAAACTCTTGAATCACCCAAAATGACACACCGTATACGTAAGGTATTCGGCGACTGGATGTATCAGAGGTTAGTCGTCCCAGAGATTACTTGCTCTGATACTAAATACGTTTCAGGAGAGCTGAGATTCATTGAATCGTGTACTATTACAATGCCGTGGAGGAGTTCGTTTCGTGTTTAGCGCGAATCAGTTTTATTTTTACTCAATAATTTGTTTTATCTTTTTAAGTATGGATTAAGTCCGACAAGCACCTTATTACCACCTTGGTTTTTCAAGCACCTTATTTCGAAGGCTTTTGGCAGTTATGTAATGGGCATCTCTTTCAACGATTGAGAATGCAAGTTTGGCATGTTAATTGTTCGTGGCTTTTCGACGGACCTCCGGGTTTTGCACGGTTTCGCAGAGAGATAATTTGTAAGGAATATTAGTTTTGTCTTTGCCTACAAAGTCCTTTTTTCATCGTTTCCGTTTATCGAAAAGGACTATCATAGGTATTTCAGGCTTGAGTGTAGGACTTACGTCTTGCTTTTTCCTATAACGAAAGTTGTGGTGATAGTTATCTCCGTTTACGACGATAGCACGTAAGGTTGGGTAGTATGAGAGCTGGACGAACATTAATGCAAATATCTTGAAATCCACACGAGGTAAATCAAACATTTTTTGCCATCAGTTAAGTAGGTACTGTTTTCCTCCGAAACTGTCCGCAATTTTATCCCAATAATTGGTCTGCCCTCATGCACACAAAGGCAGTGCACTCCGACATGAAGCCTTGTCAGGTGGTTTGTACTGTGATTGAAACAACGTGAATACAATTGGACTACATTTGCCAATAGGAAGTACTATTTCCAGCTCATCTTAGGAGCAACATATGGGCAATTAGTTTCCATAAAAAGCTTTTACAAAGGAGCCAGAAATTGTAGTTTTTAATTGCAAATCAGGTATATGAACACTTGGAGCGTGAATTTTTTGGATATCTATCTTCATTTTAGGATTATGTACGTCAAAAATTTCTTAATTAGGGGGAAAAAATTAAAACCTAAGGATGTATGCCCTCCGTATATAATATGGTTTTTCATACTTTTCGACATGAAATCAAGCTCTACTTACCGATTTTTTAAAAATAAAATAGGGTACAATAACTCATGCTTAATGTCTTACTAAAACTCTAAGAATATCATGACAACAAGTATATCTAGTCAACTTAACTGACTGTATTTTATTGCACCTATGTAGCGCGACATCAGCCTTTTCTCATGGGACTAAAAAATCCCCCACCAAATTTAAATTTGAGACATTTTCTCATAGTTCGTATAGCCTGATAATGCAGAATAATAAAAATTATAAAGATTTTTTTCATCTGATGAAGCAGTTCTAAGCACCGAGCTTGAAAATACTTCGCTGACATCGTGTAAAAACTTGCCCCATGTTGAAAGCGCTCAGAACGGTGCGGTGGAACGGTAGCATCTACAAACTTTGTATTACATAATTTAAAGGTGATTACATGCACTTTAACTTTCTTTTTAATTTTGGAAAACATCTCTCACAGCTCCCAAAATATTCTCAAGTGCACACCACATTCCGTCCAGCTGTCATAGCTAGGTTGAAAGTTGGTGAAATGTTTTTCGATATAATTAAAAGGTTGTACCTCCTCTTTCACCCATCAGGTTTGCGTTGCAGCGCATAGCCAGATTCAGACACCTCAAACAGGGGAAGGGGGCGGAAGGGAGCTCTAGGGTTTTTTTTTTTTTTTTTTTTTTAAACCCTCCCATGGCTGGTAGCCTGTGGATGCTTTGGAGTCCAATAAAGCGTCATTGCTCCAGCCAGGAGAAAAATTCTGATTTCCAATTTTTACGCATCAAAACATGAAGGATCGTAAAATTTTATCATTTTGTAAACGTCAATGTAGGGCTCTCACAGCCACACCCTAGTAACATAAGATCTTGTTTTAATTTTTCCACCGAGAACGGCGCGCTCGTCAGTGTTCGATGGTTCAAATGTTTTGCTATTATTTTTTGTCAAAGCATCACCAATTCGGTGATTCCGCCTTCAGAAGGATGTTCAAGATCTGCGCATTCGTCCGCGCAGAAATGTTGTCATCCGTGACTTTTTTTCTACGCAGATATCAAAGATACAGGAAAACATGTCTGTTATCCAACAATTTTCCCTACATGTAAAGGCTTATAGCTTCTCGGTAGCATGGAGGAACACCATGAAGTTCGGAGAGCTGCGAGAGAGGACCTAAGGAAGAGCAGAGACAGAAGACAATAACTATCATGCACGCTTACCTAATCAGGAATTTCCAAAACGCTACTCGTATGTAAAATGGGCTCATTAGTATGAAAATTATTGCCGGACCCACCTATTTCGGGAACGATCCTAGACTGGTAACGAGGTCCATGGACCCCCATTTTTGCCACGGAGGGGTGAGGGGGGGGGGAGCTCGCTCCGACCACACCGTTTACGAACTCCGATGTGGCGCGGTCTGATGCATGATGACCACCGATAACATCGGAATCAACTTGGGTGACCTAACGAGTCGCTTTGTTCCTCCGAGTCGTTCGCATTTGTGACGCTTAGGAAACTCGTGCCTGACGAGTAGGAAGAAATTTGACTTACAATTTTAGTTCAGGCCGAATTCACATCAGCAGGTTCTTGAATTGACTCACGGCTTTTCTGTCAGAAACTATTAACTGGGATCGAGAGGGCGACAGGTTTAGGAGTTGATTTTATTTTATGGCTTCTGTCGTGGTATTGTGATGGAATTGGTTTTAGAGTCGTTTGATATTATTTTTTTCGGAAAAAAAGTTTTGCATTAGACCGTATAATAATGATGGAAGTAGAAAACGCGTATCTTGGTTCGCTCTATCGCAGGTTTTCCGTCTTTTTCCTTTCTTTTCTTTTCCCCCATTTTATGACACAAGGTCTGCCTCTACTTCTGGGAGGTTATATTCAATATTTATGACAGATAACGGCGACTTTTGGTACTCATTTTTTGCTCGTAGCATGATGTCTTTTTACTTTTAATTTTTAACCGTTTTTACCGTTTTAATTAGAGACCAAAAAATTTTCGAGCTCTAATTAATACTAGCACAAGACTGAGGGGGGACTCTAATTGAAATTTTTGGAACTTCTTGGCTTGGTTTCCCCCGTGAAATGATGTCCCAGCACCATTTCACCACCTTGTTACATACAGTTCGGGCCATTTCTTAATGTTTCATTGGTAAAAAAACTCATTGGATCCAGAGTCAAGACTCTTAAAAACATTGACAAGAAAAAGGACTATTGATTCTATCAGATTTAAGCTTAAATCAGAAGGAAATCCGTTCAAATGAAGAGGCTTTTGATCGAAGCTTAAATCTGATTGAATCAAGATTATTCTTTCTTGTCGATGTTTTTAAGAGTCTGGACTCCAGATCCATTGTGTTTTTTTTCCCCAGTGTTCTTCTCGCAAAAATTTTACGTAGCATATGAGTCACCCACTCGATGCAACCAGTATCTTCCTCACCTCCAAGAGAGTGCCAAAACAACAGTTCGCTTTGTCGTAAGTAATCCGATTTTTCTTATCGCAGGTTTTCCTCGTCTTTTTCCAAAATCCTTCGCGCAGCGCTAAACCGTTTTGTCGTTTATACCCGCGTCCGCGTCGGGCGTGAGAGTCTGTCCGCGTCTGACGTCATTTCCCACTTCAAGAGGAAAAGTCATATTATTCACGACGGACGAGTGGGAGGAAAGCCGTGCTTTCTCTCTCCCCCCCCCCTCTCGTCTGAATCAACCATGTTAAAGAAAGCTCCGGGTGCGTCACTTGCAGTCAGAGTCTATGACAGACGTTCAGATGCGTATTTATTTTCGA